GGGGCTGCCTTGCCGTTTTGCGTTTAAACTACAATACGACATTAGTCACTCATATAGTACATTAAAAAAGACACTGGTCACCTACACTATAAACTAGCTACCCTAGTCACTCTTACCATACTACAAAGCAACACCAGGTACGAAAAGGTACTGCTGAAAAAGTTAAAGTTGAAGAGCATTCCCGCATTAAGTGGCGCATAGGGCGGCGCCCATCTCCGTTTTCAATTACCCTGGGCCACACAGTAGTGCAATCACTACAGCAGGGGGCTAGTCCACTGGCAGTGGTGTGTGTGTTTAACTCCCATACTCTTTCCCAAATGTTGAGTGCTACCGAGACACCTTTGGTATGACTAGGCCGGGGATCGAACTCACGACCTACCGAATGCAAGGCGAGCACTCTACCCACTTGGCCATTTCAAACCAGCTCTCAAAATGGGACCCCACACTACAAGCAACGGTAATGTCTTTTAGGGGCAATCTACAGATTCAAGAGTTAGTATTGTGGAACAAAGGCAACCTACCACCACAGCAGCTTCTGAAAACTGTATTCCGCTTTGTTCTGAACATAAGTTAACGACTATGAAATAAAGACTAAGCTTTAACTTTCAACACGGAATTGGGACTTGCCCAAATTTTCGGTCAACCGATAAGTTAACGATTCGGTCAACCGATAAGTTAACGACGTTTTTCTTTGATGTCACTGTTAATATAATCTTTCTTATTACTTGAGTACGGGCAGGGACATATGAAAAACAGCCTACAGACCTGGGTGTGATTTACTGGTAAAATAAAATAAAACAAATGAATGGACACTGGTCATTCACACTACAAAATGACACTGGTCACACCCAGGCAGCTTCTGACGACAGAAAAGTTTTGTATTTCGCAGTTGGTCTGACGTACGTGAAGCATTGACGTACTATTAAATTGCAGGTCATAATTCAGTGTCAACAAGTAGACGTGATCTTGTGTAGATTATAGTACAGTACGTCGCAGTAGACGACAACGTTGGCAGTAGACGACAAAGACGTTGGCAGTTTGAACAGTTTATTACAAATCTTATTGCAACATCGCTGACAGGGTGTGCAAGAAGGCAGAAATGTCAAGACCCTGTCATACAAACACGATTCTGGCCTACCGAACACCCCCCCCCAACCATGCATATGGTTAGGAGTCGATCGGCGCAAAGTCGGCTGGTGTTTGGTGAATTCGGCCACTCTTCTAGCCTGGGTACCATCCGGATTTTCGCTACGCAACGCTCGAAAAACGTAGCGAAAATCCGGATGGTACCCAGGCTACTACTCTTCGGCTGCGCCAGCCAACATTCGGGGGCTGGCCGGTTTTGGAGGTTAGTCGGATGGTTTGAGCATGGTTGACTGCGTTAAATTCGGCTGTATTTAAGTCAGCCAACATTCAGGAGTCTCGGCGTGCTTAGGGGTCAAATCTGACTCAAACTTAACTCAAATTCGTGTCGATTCGAACAGAAAGGAAGGTGTGACCTAAATCTGTTCATCAGAGTTCTCCCGAACGTCATTCGAAGTAGTTTTCGGGAACAGATTCGAGGGAAGTTCGTTAATGTGTGACTGGTGCTTCAGAGAAGCTTTGAAACTTTATTTGACCACTAGCTATAGCGGTTGGCCAAAGAATCCACCGCTAGTCTTCCTGGTATTCGTTCACAAATGTATATACAATATATATACATACAATACTTAAGAGAATCACTAGACAATATCTACAACGTATTTACAAAATTACAATTTATACAGTTATACAAAAACAGACAATCATGCTACAGAAGTGCCAGTGGAAATGTTAGTACAAACCGCTGTGAAAGAATCTAAAGATGTATAGAGAAGACGGATACGTGAGAAAGTTAGAGGTTTCCCCCTTTGGAACTCATTCATTGCCTGCTGAGATTGCACGTAGGCCAAGTGTTATATCTTTTCCCCTCCGCCCTTACACAGATGTATGTAGCCATCGAGGCAGAAGAGACAACTTTATACACACGCCTCCCAGAGAAATTTCCCAGTCGGACTGACTGCGCCAGTTTATAACAGCCAGTCGTGGGAACTGGGGCGAGGAAGAAAGGAAATGGAAACCTATTCACGGAGAGCTATCTTCACCATACACCGTGTGGCTGAAGATATAAAGGGAATACACATACCCAGTCATTCACATGTGCCATCCATCAGCTATAATGGGCTATACTATCATGAAAGTTCATCTGTGTTGGAAGTTATATGTTTAATGTTAAAGGCATAAAATGCAACTTCAGGACGGCAAAAATATTCTGGATTAAGAAATCTGTCTGATATTATCATTTACCACCATTTCTTATAAGATTGTCATCATCGTTTAATACTTGAAGTGAGGTGTCTCTTTATTTTGGGTACCACCAATAAATAGCTAGAACCATATGATACAAAACAAGCAACTGTTTTCTTCCGTCAGTAACATCACATTTTTGCCTCGCAGATATCAGTATTCTATGGGGTAGGATTGAGTCAACTTAGTGCATTAAAAGAATGACCAGAAAATTTACTTTGAAAATCCAGTTTATGTCGGCCCCCGTCGCGGTTTAGTGAAGGGTGATGGGTCCTGATGTAAAAAATAGCATCTTCCAATCCTCTCAGGAAGTAGTCTTGTTCAGTGCCTAGCATTCTTACTATTCTTACTCCAGAGAAACGGAATGTCCAGGTGACTCTATGTAGATGACTTGTGGAACTTCTGAACTGAACTGACCATATCGATTTGCATGCATAAGATTTGCGATTTGACTTTCCTTGGTAGACATACACATGGATTTCCTAGAATATATGCTTATCGTTGTGATCTGTATCTTCCTGGTAGACATACACATGGATTTCCTAGAATATATGCTTATCGTTGTGATCTGTATCTGCCTTCGACGTATACGTGACACGCCAGCTTTGCAGGCACGCGGTGCGAACGACTTGTTACACTCAATCTTTGCACATTTAACTGTAGGAGTCGTATAAAGATAATGATAATACCCCTACTGAACTTGTCAGCAACGACTTCCTGTCTACGATAGTTGTAGGAAAATAACGTGTTTTAAACACCTCAATTCCTGGTTGATAACCCAGATATTTGAAGGCATGACTACTGTTTCTTGCTGATTTAATGGTTGGTACGTCCACCAGTTACTATGTTAGTTTCCGTTGAAAACGAGTATGCATTATAATGCTGGTATATTATATATATACATATATTTATATATGTATTCGTATTACAAAATAAGTATTCGTATTGGAAAATGCAGCAAAGTTGAACTGTAGGCCATCCATGTAACGCAACTATACTATATATCAACCAGCCATGAAACTAAAAGATTGATATTCAGTGCCATTAACGTAACGTTTATTCTCCCAAGAAATACAAAAATCACCTGTAAAACTGCCTGCCCGGCACTAACCCGGCCATTGCTTTGATAGCCATTCTATATTTCCATCGCTGTGGTTTCCGTTATATGACCATATTCCCGTACTTTTACGATATTCTTTCGGCTCTTCTTGTAAATACAGAGGACATAAAGCAGTCCTAGTGGTTGTTAACAATGAAATCAAACCCCGTATATTGTGTGATCATACCGCGTCGTTTCCCTACATATAACCTCCTTGTAGTTCCCCCAACAGAAGGTATACATCACACATCGTTTCGCAATGTAACGATTTTTTCCCATGGACAAATGCTTTTGTAATATCATGTACTGATGTGACGAAGCGACGAAAGTTCAGACCTCAATTTCTCTTGCCATGCATCGAGGTATTATCTTGTAATGAGGTGATTCGAAACTCTATGGTATGACTCAGCCACAGACCGAAGCCGTAGTAATCTCTGGCCAGATGGTGCGGTTTGGCATGCTTGGCTTTTTACTGGCAATTTTTGCAAAAGTCAGCCTTACGAGCAACCGCGCATGCAAATTCTCAATTTATTGCATGATTGGAAATGAAACGAGCAACGAGGACCCTCTTGACTTCCGTTTTACAGACGGATTTTGGAGTGCAGCGGTTGAAATCGACGGATATCAATAAAATTGCTCCCTTACTTAACCACGAGACACTTTTACTACAAACAATTTTACTTCTAAATTCAAAGATCCCACGTATTATAGAAGGAGTGGGTAAATTTGTCTTCTACTGCTCAAAAAATCAAACCCTGCAAAACTAGTACTACCAATTTTGTAGAATGTAGGATAATGTTATAGTAGTGTTTTTAACATCATAATGATTGTATTTTTTCATGCATGTTGTTTGTACCTGAAATTAGCCCTCGGGCATATATTTTCAATAAGTTTAATATATTATCGTTCTATAATCCGGAAACGACAACAGATATGCGTTTTCCTGAGTATAACCATCTTTTCTCTGAATAACTAACATTACTTGTAATAACATATAGCCATCGCACATGGATTCACATACTAAATAAGATTTCAGTTTTAAAATAGCCAGGAAAAATGGATGTTTGATTTGGCGCAAGATTGTTGAGCGAATTCAAACGAAACATGCTATATATGAAAGGGACTAACTTCGTCCTCTTCTTACTCTGAGGCCATGTTGATTTGATTACATGGATAGCATCCTCTGGGAACCCCAAAGCTTTTGCGAGCGTGGGAATTAGAAAAAAAGTTTACCAAACAAACTTCTTTCATTGTGAAATCTAAATGGTCAAGAAGGTTCAACAAATCACAGCGTATGGTATGGCAAATAACAAACTCTCCATTTTCATTTCTACACATTTTCTTCCTTTCCTTTGGAATTGATTTTGGCATTCAGCGACATTTGTTCATTTTGCACCTATTTTGTACGATTTACAGTATGGTCGAAACCAAAAACTTTTTTTACATATGTAGTTTTTTTACTATAGATATATTTTAGTCTACCATCGCTATTTGCCATGACCTGTACTTAGTTCGCGATGAGCAAAAATGTACTATCAATGTCTTTCATTCATTAAACAGTTACATGTGTTTCCAGGTACTACTGTGACGATGGTTCCCAGGCGAAGATCACCAACATGCCGGCGGCCGTGACAGCTGTAGTCGGCGCCTCGGACAGCAGTGTGTCCGGCCAGGTCGCTAACCTTCTCCGGCTCTTCAGGATACCACAGGTGCTGCCAGCTTCGTTCAGTGTGGTTGACTGATATGTTTTAACTCTTTAGGCCACAGCAAGTAAATTTTATGGATGACATCCTCCGCAGACTCCAAATCTAATGCGAGAGGGCAAAAGAAAACAAGGCGGGCCCAAAAAAACAAAATTCCTATATTTTGAAATTTGGACATCATAAACCCTATTAAACAAGAAATGATACCTACATGGTGCTAACTTTACTGCCAACTATTACAACATCCATTTGTCACTAAAACAACTTTGAAAAGAGAAAGTTTTCAATCATTATACAAATGGTTTTGATTCCGTGGGAACGTACGAAAGGAATGAAATACATCGCTGCATCAAAGTAAAAGTAAAAAATAAATAAAGTAGAGCCTTGTCTTGTCTCCTCTCTTCATGTTTATCTGCCATACACGTTCCAGCATGGCAAGGCAAGCCATTTTGTCCATTTTCGGAAAATGTCGACCACTGTCAAAGGGCAACGAAATTTCTTGTTTTTTTTCCTCCAAAATCAGGCGAAAATCAATGCGCGCGCGGATGTCATCCATAAAAATTACTTGCTGTGGCCTTAGTTCTTTTTGATCAGATTCGTATTTCAGATAGTTACATAGATAGTTAGACACATAGATAGACACCAATTCATGTCTCAACTTATTAAGCCAAGTAGGTTAATATGTTTTCGTGACTATGTGTGTGTATGTGTGTGTGTGTGAGTGTGTGTGTGTGAGTGTGTGAACAGGTTTAGATGGATTATCTTGATATGTGGTATGTAGGTAGAGCTATGAGAGCTCAAAATGATCAGAGCTTGCTCCCCTTGGTGTCTCATCATGGTACTGCAGTGAAACTTCCGGCTTTGACATCTCGTCAGTCATCTGGACATGCTTGGGTCTTGATTTTTGGGTGGCAGGTAGCTCTTATGCTCGAAGAAGTTAGGGCCTCCTGGCAGCTTGTTTAGGAACTGCAGTGGCGCTTGTTTGATAATATTTAAAGTCGGATAACTCAAGAATTGGGTGATGGATTGTCGCTAGGTAACCTAAGTGATGCTTGACAGAATTAGATATGCAAATCAGGATCTAATTTACATAATTAATGACGAAATTCTTATACCCAATTCGTCTCGCACAGGTGAGTTACGCCTCCACCAGTGCCAAGCTCAGCGACAAGACCAGGTTCGACTACTTCGCCAGAACCGTCCCACCGGACACCTTCCAGGCTAAGGCTATGGTCGAGATCATCCAGATCTTCAACTGGACCTACGTGTCCACCGTGGCGTCTGAGGGAGACTACGGCGAGATGGGCATCGACATGTTCAAGAAAGAAGCCCTGGCCAGAAACATCTGCATTGCCGCCGAGGAGACCATTCCGAACAGCGCTAAAGATGATACATTTGACTTGATCGTTGAGAGGCTCCGGGAGAAATCTAATGCTAAAGTTGTGGTGTTGTTCATCAAGGGATCGGATGTACCGAAGCTACTGTCTGCTGCTAAGAACCTGACAGACCCGTTCGTTTGGATCGCGAGTGACGGCTGGGGGGAACAAGAAGCCGCGGTCAAGAACGTCGAAGATGTCGCAGAAGGCGCCATAACTATCGAGCTAAGTTCCAAACCGATCAAAGCGTTCAACAAATACTTCAAAAACTTGACTCCTGATCTGAAAAACAGAAACCCCTGGTTTAACGAGTATTGGGAAGACAAGTTCTTCTGTCGCCTTCCTTACACTAAAAGAGAGAACAGTTCGTTCCCGGTTTGTGATATTGGACTGACGAACAAGAAGTTTGAACCTGAGAGTAAGATTCAGTTCGTGGTAGATGCGGTTTACGCTATAGCCTACGCACTGGACAACGTGAGGAAGGAAGTGTGTGGGACACCGTCTGGGATGTGCAGTGGTTTGAGAAACCTTGACGGAGCGAGGCTATACAAGGCCATTCTCAACGTTACCTTCCAGGGTAAGTAGTACTCAGTTTCAGTTTATTACATAAGGCCATACCGACTTTAATAATTTTATGGATGACATCCTCTGAAGACCCCCAAACTAGTGCGTGCGGGCGAATAAAAAAGATTCCGGCCAAAAATAAAAATGCTACTAAGCCGCAGGAATACAAAGCTGGTATTGTGAATTTGCAGGAATTTGCGGAATATATGAATCGGCACTGTACGAGTTCTTGAGTCGTGGAGCTTTGGTGCCATCGGTGCCATCCTCCAGGGTTACCATCGGCTCCGTATTGTCGCTAACTACCATGGACTACCCAGGCCTAGAGCCAGGCCAGACGTGATCTTTTGTTTTTTGAGAACAGGTGAAAATCATTGTGCGCGTGGATGTCATCCATAAAATTAAGTCGGTGTGGCCTAAACTAAGCATATTGGGACTACTAGTATATTGCAGCCAGATGGCTGAATTCCACGCTCATCACTTCTATACTGTCAGTGGAACACAGAAAAGAACTCAATAGAAAATTTAAAAAAAATACCTGAGGGTATTTGCCTACTCTACTTAAATACCACATTTCAGGTCATTTGGTCCCAAAATGAAGAAACTGAATCCATTTATTTGACGAAATGGCAGGAGAAGAAGAAAAAAAAAACATGAAGAAAACAATACAATTTTTCGATGAGTGAAATATAAATAGGAAAATTTGGATTCTACCTGTTCCTTATAGCCCAAAAGTCTCCAGACTAAACTAAAATAATAAAAAATATATATATTTGGAACGATACTAACTATGGACTAAAATTGTGTTCCCACTGTGACTCTTCACTGTGCAACGCAACTGTAACATCAGAACTTCATTCGAAAGTACATATTATTAAATTGATGTAATCGACATGTACTAATGTGTCTACGAAAACGTCAGTTCACAATTATTGTCACTATCTACATGACGTTTCTATACGTTAGTCCTGCGCTACAATAAACTCTGAAACCAGACAAAGGTTAGAAGGTCAGTGCATTAAAAGCTTCCAGGGTCATGACCCACCAATTGCCTCACTATAAATGTACTCTTATCATAGATACTACAGTGGCAGCACACGTATATATCCTCAGCTTATATAGATACACTGGAGCTCCATATTCGCCAGCCAGATATAGATCCGTTTCCCCAAGTGTCTGTCGAAGTGTGAAGAATGTTACTGCATTTGATTGAAGTTCCTCGCTGCTTAGCAAGAACGTTAACACGATATTATTATCATCATAACATCCATATCTCAGGATATCACAGCGAGTCGTGAAGATGGTATGCCGCAATCATGTCAGATAGTTTTCCATAAACTTTATTAACTCATTGCAAACGCGGCATAAGATATAACCTAGGGGGTAATATCTGTACTATCATTGAATTTGGCTGTAAAATTTGGTCATAAAGCGTGGATGTATTAAATCAAGGGAGGTGATAACCCTCTCGCTGGAATCAGGAATTTGATTATGTGCAGCTATGAAACCGTTCCACAACGCTGCAAGTAACATTAGCGGCAGCTGGATATGTTATTTCTGACTGAACACGAGAGGAAAATGTATCTGCCAGAAACAACAAAATTGTCTTGTGGCGTAACAGAGTGGTATGCTCGGAATAAAGAGGTCCCGAGTTCGAATCCTGCCATGCCACCGATCTTGTGCCCTTGGGAAAGGTACTACACGACTTTACTCACTTTACTCAAGTGAAAATGAGTATGTCTGTTGTCCGGTCACGTACTTGTCCGCGTTGGTGGCGGCAAAAAAAAGTTGAAATATATGAGTGTATAGTTGCCATGTCTTGTAATAAATGTTGGAATAAAATATGTACTTGCTAGAAACAAGGAAATTGTCTACGATCTTACTCCAGTTGGTGCCAACCCTTCTTAGCGAAGCAGCCCAAATCTTCAATGATCATAAGAAAAGAAGAAGTCAGATTCTTGAACTTTTCGCAAACGAGATTGGCATGTTGTATAGGTTATAGATTAATCATGGGTTAACGACCACCTCCGAGGTGTATATGGTTTCATAACCCGCCTGGTCATTTCCTATAACCGCCTATTGAACCACCGAGTGAGCGTATCGAGGCCTTATGACACAATGTACATCGAGGAACAGGATGGTCATTAACGGTATTATCATATAGCTTGTCCAACTTTTTTTATTCTAACATTTGATACAATTACAAGACATGGTGACGGTACACTCAGGTATTCAATTTATTTTTATACCACCACCAACGTAAAGAGCAATTAGACAATATCTCATTTTCAGTTGAGTTAGGTGAGGAAAATCGTGAAAGGTGCCTTTGCGAATGGCATGAAATCGGTGGCATGGTAGGATTCGAACTCGGGACCTCTTGGGTCCGAGCCCAAAACTCTGCCGTTACGCCACACGACCCCACGTCGTCCAAAGTTTTGCTGTTTTTTTTTTCATCCACCCTTCCTACAACTAAAACCAAGTGGGTAGAATGATCGCCTTGCATTCGGTGGGTCGTGGGTTTGATTCCCAGCCGATGTTACATACTGCCTTCTCTACTCAGCACTCACACAGAAAAGAGCATGGGAGTTAAACACACACCACTACCGTTCTAGTGGACTAGCCCCCTGCTGTAGGGATTGCACTGTTGTGTGTGTGGCCCATGGCAATTGAAAGGGAGTTGGGCGCCGCCCTATGCGTCACTTGTTGCGGGAAAAGAAACTTTAACTTCCTCCAACTGTTTAAGCTGCTGTCAGTTCAAACATTAAAGCAAAACATGTACGTACGTGCGCCCTCCTTAACAACTTTTAGTTCTCCCTCTAGTGCTACTAGTTCTTCTGGGGCGTCCCACTCGCCTAGTTTTGCGTCAAAACCTGTAAAACCTATCGGCAGTCTTCACATCTAGTCCTGGCCAAAAGGGTCAAGAAGCTCAAGTTTCATCAGCGTTCGATCACGCCCCAGTGGCTCGTACAGACCTCGCGTTCACTAATACAGTCATAGAGCGCTTAGGTTCACCACCGAAGGTTGCTACAATGACGCCTGCTTCATTTACAGAAGCCATTATAACGTCTACTCAATTACGAGCTCTACATGTGCTGAAAGAATTAATTATTCCAGTTAGGATTGGTGTCATTTTTCAAACGCGATTTACTTCATCGCATCAGTTACTGTCAAATCAGGTTGAAAGCAGTAGAAATTGATGCTGACTTTAATACCTCAATCCTTTTTTACTCCCTATACTGTAAAGTGTACGAGGCTACATTATACTTTTACTGATTTCTATTGTACTGTCATGTGTAGTTAAGTTTGGTTTGTGTATTAGAAGTGTTGTTTTGCAATCGATTTTCTATGTCGGATAATTGCCAAACTACTACAATGATCCAACAGTTGACACAATGCTATTTAGTCATGTACCCTCGTAATTATCATAAGGCCATGTTGATTTGATTATATGGATGACATCCGTGAGGGCATGGATTTTCGGCCGTTTCCAAAAAAAAAGTTCTCAACCATACTGTAATTCAATCGCACAAAACAGTTGCAAACTGAGCGAGTATATACCGTAGGTTTACAAAAAAAGTTCGAAAAACGATACCAATGTCGTAGAATGTCAAAATCAAACAAATAAGATGAAAATGTGAATTTTAAGAGTAGATTATTTGCCATACCATACGCTGTGTCATTTGTTAAACCTTCATTTCCACGTAGATTTCATAATAAAAGCAACTTTTTTTTTGCTAAACCTTTTTTTATTCGCACGCTCACATCACTTTTGGGGTTCCAAGCGGATGTCATCCATATAATCAAATCAATATGGCCTAACTGCCTGGAAGATTTACTTTGTTTCATGACTGTCCTTCGTAAGGCCATGTTGATGTGATTATACGGATGACATCCAAGAATTTTCGCTATTAAAAAAGGTTTTCAACCATACTGCGAATCGTACAAAGCACCTGTAAAATGAGTAAATATATGCCGTAAATCGCAATGAATATTGGAAAACGATACTAACGTCGTAGAAAGCCAAAATCAATTCCAAAAAGAAAGGAAAATGAAGAGTCTATTATTCGCCATACCATACTCTGTGTGTTTAGTCATTTGTTCAACTTTCGTGATCACGTAAATTTCATAATGAAGGCAAGTTTTTTATTCGCACGCTCGCATCAGTTTTGGGGTTCCCAGATGATGTCATCTATATAATCAAATCAACATGGCCTAATTTTGTACTTATGGATGATGCTCTTTGCCAACCAACAGACGTAGCCAAGAGGCAGGTCCAATTTGACGAGAGGGGTGACGGCATGGGGAGGTATGATATCTACAACTTCCAGCGGGTGAACGGAGACTGGAAGTACGTGCCGGTCGGCCATTGGTTGGAGAGTCTCTACCTGGACGAAACCAAGGTATGAGGGGGGGCATCTTTTGGTTCCACTGTGAATTCTTAGGAAACAAGAATTCGAAGATCTCAGACCTCCATGGAATATTTAGATCTTGTATGAAGGTGACTGTGTCCTCTTCTCACTCACCAAGCCTTTCTCTATTGTGCAAGGGAAACAACACCAGCTGTCAAGGAGGTCATGTAATGAAAAACACGTAAAACATCGAGCGCTACCAGATGTAGAAGTGATGTATTACTTTCTTCCTCTGGAACAGACTTAAAGCAACCATATCGATTACAACTTGACTTAAGGGTCATGCGTAACACACACACACACACACACACACACACACACACACAGACATACCAAAACAATACCTCCAATTTTCAAGGAGGCAATAACTGGGTTATGTTGACGGAGTTTGTTGATCAAGACGCTATCAGATCAAGGTCGATATAGATGTATTTTGGGGTTTGATTTCTTTTTTTGGAAAAATTATAAGACGAAGCGTAGCACTTTTCCTGCAATTCGTAGGGTTTTGGAGGTTAACAAGGTTGTAGTTTTCTTTAAGTCGGTAAACATTTGGAAGTTGTGGTAAGTTTTGGCTTCTTTAACTTTCCTGATCATTAAAGGGCAGTTGGAGAGAAAATGTATTTCGTCTTCCACTACTTTTGACACAAGGTAATTACAAATTCTTTTCCCTATAGCTAAGTAACATTTAACTAATTATTTTCATATAGCCAATTGCCGTCGACCAATCAGAAGGCTCCATTTCCCATGGGTTATCAGGCCATAACCCATGGCTTTTTGGACCGCAACATTATACTCGGTGATTTATCCGGTGGTTATCGCACCTGACCAGTGATTAACCTTTTATTCTACATTCCATCACAGATCCAAGTCAACTCCCGCCTTGGCAGTCTACCTGAATCTCGCTGCAGCGCCCCCTGTCGGCCGAACGAGGCAAAGATCGTCCAACAAGGGGACAACTGCTGCTGGATCTGCAAACCCTGCCAGCCCAGGCAGTACCTCATAGACGAACACACCTGCGAGGACTGCGGCTTCGCCCGTTGGCCGACGTTTGACCTCAAAACCTGCCATGACCTCCCGGAGAAATATCTCCAACCAAACGAAGTCTGGGCGCTCGTACCCATGATTATTGCACTACTGGGCATTATGATGACCGGGGCGGTTATAGCGGTGTTTATGAAGTATAACGACACCCCTCTAGTGAAGGCATCCAGTCGGGAACTCAGTTATATGCTTCTCGGGGGGCTTGTCATGTGTTTCGTCATGACTTTTGTCATCATCGCCAAACCGTCCGTTGGTACATGTGCACTGGTGCGGCTAGGACTGGGGCTATCCTTCACAGTTTGCTACACGGCACTTCTGACCAAAACTAACAGAATATACCGCATTTTCACCCGGCAGACGTCCACAAACGTACAGAAGGTCAACTACATCAGTCCTATTTCCCAACTCCTCATCTGCACGGCTTTGATATCGGTACAGGCGGTGGGTGTTGTGGTTTGGCTTGCGGTAGAACCACCCGACACCCAACTGGTGTACCCGTTCGGGCGGCAAGACCAGGTCATCCTCAAGTGCAAGATCAAGGACAAATCCCTCATGATGTCACTGGTCTACGTCATGCTTCTCATCATCGTCTGCACTATCTATGCCTTCAAGACGAGGAAGGTGCCGGACAATTTCAACGAGACAAAGTACATTGGATTCACGATGTACACGACGTGTATAGTGTGGCTAGCCTTTGTGCCCATCTACTTTGGAACACAAACAGATCACAGGGTATTGGTTTCATAGAATTCTCGTGCCTGTTGTTCACGTTGTTTATAAAGTAACGCAGTTGAATGTAGTGGAGAATCGTTTATTGTCCTGTAACTCCACACTGACTTAATTCTATGGATGACATCCTCTGAATACCTCCAAACTAGTGCATACGGGTGCATAAAAAAATCCAGCAAAAAATGCTGCTAAACCACAGGAATATAAAGTTGGTATTGTGAATTTGCGGCACATGCTGGCATTTTGCAGCATTTATGAGTCTGAAATTGAGTTCTAGAGTTCTGTGGAGCCTCAGCAGCCTGGGTGCCATACGGAGGATGGCACACAGGCTGCCGAAACTCCACAGAACTCTAGAACTCAACCTCAGGCTCATAAATGCTGCAAAATGCCAGCATGTGCCGGCTTCTTGTAAAAGTAGTCATGTACAACGGGAAATTTGCAACTTTACATTCCTGTGGTTTAGCAGCATTTTTTGGTGTGTTTTTTTATTTACCCGCGCGCACTAGTTACGCGCACAGAGCCTTCTTGGAGGTGTTTTTTTAGAACGTCAATGCGCGTACGAACGTCATCCATGAAATTAAATCAGTGTGAGTTGAATGTGGAGTCAATGTACCGATACGCATTTTGGATAAATGTTAGATAACTGATGTTTGATACATACATACGTTTGGTAAGACAGTGCCCTCTTTCGACCCTGAAATAGGTTCAGTATCCGTCCTGCACCAACTTTTGTCGATATATCACTTCTCTACATTTCCAAACGACTACGATGTGCATAGTTATATGCATTGGGCTGTATGCTACATTCATGTGTCTGGTAAGACAGTGCCCTCTTGCGACTATGAACAAAACTACTGTATCATCATTCAACAACTTTTATCACTTCTCACTTCTCCACAGATCCAAACGACTACGATGTGCATAGCTGTCAGCATCAGCGCTTTCGTGGCCCTGGGCTGTCTCTTCGCTCCCAAAGTCTACATCATCCTGTTCCAACCGGAAAAAAACGTCCGGTCTATGAACCGACAGAAACCCAGCTTCAAGTCGGCCGTCATGTTTGCCAAAGAGAGGCATATGGCAGGTAGGTCCTCATATCTTTGCATGGCATAAACTCAAAGACGACAGAAATGACTAGTCTCTAACAGACCCCTCAGGTAGCTGAAAGGTAGTAACAACTGGAGTGATTTGCCGACCTTATAGACTTATATGTTGGCAACCCAGATGGCCATTAGCATGAAAGTCCATCTGCGTTGGTAAAATACATAATAAAAGTTGAACAGTTCTCCAATTCAATAAAAATTGACTCACCGGAATTTTCAACCGAATCAGTCGGGCTTCGTCAGATTTCTGACCCGAGTGCTGTAGACACGTGACTTTTCCCCACGTGTGACGTAAGCACTGGGTCAAAGTTCGTCGGAAGTCGGTATCGCCCCCCTCCCCCAAGATAGCCATTTTTAAGACTATTTTTCAGGAACCAAAGTAGAACGGTAGAAACTTGGAAAGAACAACATATGGACCTATAAATGCTTAAATGTGACAATTGCCTCCAGTTGCTGTACCGTTGTTTTCAACAAAAGTGTGACAAAAGGCCAAGCACGTATTGCTATGGCTTACAGATCTCAAAATGGTATAGTCCGTACAAAATGGTATAGTCCATACTGACACCTTAAGTTGACACCATGTCATTGGCCACTTTTTCCATCTCAAATTCCATTCTAGATATCGCCGAACCGGATCCGAAAAACGCTAAAGACATCGGTCTGAGGTATTTCTTGTCCTGCAACAAATATGTTTGTGGATAGATGGAGAAATCCTGAGTGTATCACTTGTGTTGTGGTCGTATGGTACGTTAAGTCTCAGTCACACATTCACGAATTTGGCCTCCCGAGCACTAGCCGAACGCTCCCCAACCATGGGTAGGAGTAGCTAGGTCGGCGTAAAGTTGGCTGGCGTTTGGGGGAATTGAACTACTATTCGGCAGCGTCAGTCGAATGTTTCATAATAACTTAAACATTCGGGGTTTGGTCGGGAGGTTCGACCAAAGTCGGCTGGTGTTCGGCTGTAAGTTGGCAGAACACCAGCCAACCATACGGTAGCGTTTGGGGCGTGTCCATGGGTCAAATTTGACGCAAATTTAACTCAAATTCGTTTCGATTCGTATAGAAAGGCGTAGCCTAAATTTGGTCGGAGTGCTCCCGAACGTCATGTCCTGCCTTGTCGGCTGATGTTCGGGAACAAAGTCGGGGAAAGGTCGTGAATGTGTGACAGAGGCTTTAGTCACCCGTGGATACTCAAATGTCTTACGGGAGTGTCTCAGAGTCTACAAAGAACGAAAACCGTGTGCTACCTCTCAAAAAGTCTTTTTACAATGTCAGTCAAGCGTGGGGTCGTGTGGCGCAACGGCAGAGTGCTTGACTCGGAACCAAGAGGTCCCGGGTTCGAGTCCTGACATGCCACTGATCTTGTGCCCTTGGGAAAGGCACTTTACACGACTTTCCCTTCTTAACTCAAGTGAAAATGAGTATTGTCTGCATTGTGTGGGACACAACAACAGCTGCCTGTGTCCCACGTGTAAAAAAATCACTCGCATTGTTGCAATTACAATAAATCATATCAAATCAAATCTTTCACATGGAAATGATTGATTGTTGTTGTGATGGTTCAATGATTATACTTGATGTATAGCATACGAATGTAACAATTGCTTCTTCTATTCTTGTTACCAAGTTATTTAACTTAAGTGCATTTGGCCCGTGTAGGGCGTGAACATGCAATAAAGTTCATTGTCATTGTCATTATAACGGACACTGTTTCTATTAGTCACATCGTTACTGCCTTGGTTTTTGTTAATGTTCTGTTACTGGGTTTTGGTTCTGTCCATATATTGTTTATTTATTTACCCATGCTGGATTAGTATTTTGATCCAGTTGTGGATTGTGTTCAACCACGTTTGATTTAATCATTGTGTCTGTTTGTATGTATTTTGCCATGGCCCGTTTCTGGTAAATAAAGATACAAATAAAGATTAGACTTGTACCCGATTTACATGTTTATGTTTATGTTTATGAGCGTAAAATTACATGATTCTCATCAACTGAATCCTTCGGTAAGTTTCTGGTCTCTTTGAAAAACATCATCTAATGATACTGACTCTTCGTCTCTAGAAGAATACAAATGCTTATGCGCCCAAAACAGTTACTCAAGCAACTAGGTATAAGTTTGGAAACGGTCAGACGTTTCAGGTAGCATCCACTACCTTTCGTCAGTGACTGAGACTAGAAAGGTCTAAAAGAATACGGATTTTGAACTCGAACTATCAATTGATATGCAAAAAGATGTAAAGACAAACTTAAACAAATTCAAGACATGGTTGATGTACAAATAGAAATTTTCATAGCAAATGCATAATGTTTACCTTCGCGTATGCTCTGTTAATTCTTACTCAAATACATTCATATATATCGTCAGACAGGAGCATAAATCCCTCCCACTATAAAATTACAACATTATGTAACCCAACGCCAGTTACCATGTTGAGAGACGTCATTGGCCAGGTCAGAGGTCAGTGTTTGGAATGGATGAAGAAGAGGGAACGTAGCAAAAACAATATGTTTTCCTTTGGTAAATATAAAGATAGCTTTTGTTGCGTCAGAACAACAACAGAAGATAGCTCCTGTTGTTCAAAAGCTATTATCTTCGAGACCTCACTAGTGTCACTGACGAAAGGTGGTGGATGCTACCTGAAACGTCCGACCGTTTCCAAAATCATATCCAGTTGCTTGAGTAACTGTTTTTGGCGTATCTTATTACCTGGATGTATTTCACGTGACAAATATATACTTCAGCTGTATATTTGTGGTCGTATTTTTCTTTTCATTTAGGAGCCCTGAATGGACCGGGACAGGGAAAACCTCCGTTGAGTGCCATGATCCAATCGAAAAACAGTGACAACCCCTCGTCTGACAACGGACTCTTGAAATCCTCCAACACGTGCACGCCACGTGATGTTCACGTGACATGGAAAGACTTGGATACCGGCAAGGACAAGAAGAAGGACCTAAACCCGCCAAAGCCCTACGTACCGCCCATACTTCCCAGAGAACCTCTAGAAAACATGAAGATTCCAGATAGGTTTAAGGAAGTGGAGAAATTCAGGGAAGACGAAAAGAAGCCAGAGGATGAAAAAACTAAGGAGCCCGAAAAATCATCCTTGAACATAGAAAGACGGTCACCCGTTGGAAGTTCAAATGTAAAACAAAGTAACTCGTCAGGGCTAGATCCAGAGGTAGAAAAAATATTTGCAAGTAATCTCAAAAGGGAAACGAAAGACTTTCCGATGGAAATGTGACGTAGGAATATATATAGAAATGTACAGATATAGCTTCGATGTAATCTTTGGAAATGTGACTACATTTAAGAACGTTTGTTATATTCGTGACAATATGCAAAAACAATAGTTCAAGCTGCCTTTCATCCACTGCATATCCCCGTATTTATACAGTTTATTGTACATGTAGCTCTGAATGAAATTGTTAACAGTCATTGTTGGACAACTTAAACCTCTCAGGCAGAGGATGTTTTACCATTTTGACGTTAAAGTCATCCAATGCAATTTCAGGGCAGCAAAACAAGAAATATTATGGATAAGAGAGTCTGTCTGCTAGCATTTACTGCCATTTCTTAGCACATTTTCGTCATCATATTATATTGAAGCGTTTGAAATGGAGCTACGTGGGGCGTCTCTTGATTTTTGGTACCGCCCATAAATAGCTAGAACCAGTCTACCATACAAAACAAGCAACTGTTTTCCGTCAGCAACATTGCAGTTTGCCTCACATATCAGTATGCTATGGGATAGAATTGATTCAACTTACTAACTGTAACATTAAAAGAATGACCAGAACTTGACTTTGAAAATCCAGTTTTGCCACTCCGTAGTAAAATTGCATTGGATGCCTTTAAAAATATGGAACGTATTTTATACAAAGTGTTGGTATTGTTTACAGAGATGTATAAACTATAGTATAAGGGCACGAAATCCATGTAAGAAGCGGGAGGGGTAGCCCTTGGATCTAGATATGTACTTTACTCAAAGTTTGTAGTTGATCACATCGTAGTGAACATGTGTGGAGGTAAAGTTTGGTGCCGGTCAATATAGCCAATGCTCGACTGGAAAATGGTCATGCCTATGACATAGGTAGCGACTGAAATACCCGAAAAGTTTAATTATTGGTCTTTTTTAAATAAAAAACACAGATATTTCTAGTTGTCAAGCTCTGTTTCTGGACAATCCGACTACTAAGTACATACGTTTGGAATGTGTTTTAATTTACATTTGTACATTGACTGTAATCTTGCCTATAGAAGACTTACATTACTTCCTAGACCTACATTACTTCCTAGGAAATCATTCTTGCTTACAAGTCGTGATTGATTTTTACTTAAAAATCAAAACTAAATGTAGATCAGACGTTAAAATAATTAAGATTAGTGGCATATTTATGTAATTCAAGTCACATTAGGCCATGTTTATTTGATTATATGGATGACATAAAAGTGAATTTACCAGTAGTTTTAACCCCCGTAAGATTTACATACATACCAAAGTAGGAATCACTGACGATCAAACTTGATTGCGAATTGCTAGTCGATGAGGTAGTAATATTGAACTGGTTTTCCAGGCTAACATTGTGTCTGTTTCACATGAAACATGTCCATGGTGTATGCAAGTGCACTGTATGGGATACAAACATTTTATATGATGTCATTGTCTCTTCTCTGTTATGTGAAGAATAAATACCCGTATTCAGAATGCAAATTATAGACGTGTGGGCCTTTTGCTTTACAGACACACACACACACACACACACACGACACACACACGCACACACACACACACACACACACACACACACACACACACACATAGACACACACACACACACACACACACATAGACACACACACACACATGCACATAGACACACACACACACACACACACACATAGACACACACACACGCAAACACACACGCACACACACACGCACACACACACACACACACACACATAGACACACACACACATGCACATAGACACACATACACACACACACACACACACACACGCACACACACATGCACATATGAATGCATACATTGACCCTATATTACGACTCACCACACTCACTTAGAGTAAAATAGAGGTTTTTAAAACCCTTGTCCTGCGGAGCACAACAATTGCTGCTCTGCACATACAGTACCATCTATATAACACCCTGTATAGGTACGATTTGGGGGTATTTCTCGTGCACGCATCCGCGAAACGCAACGAATGCAGAAGCAACTATGCCACTGCAGGGCAAAAAAATCTGGGGGTCTATGATCTAATTAAGACATGAAATTATTGAAAAATATTGTGCCAGGAATGCCAGCAGGACAAGGGATAACTTATTTATAGAAAGAATAACACATGTAGCTAGTCAACCTGGTAGCTGTATTGGCGCTAGGCAAACCACGGTCTTAAAGGGCATCATGTGACATTTATTTTGCCAAAAATGGAAAAAAAGTATTTAAACCAATATTTGTGCGATTGTAATTTACTTCCACTTTTCAACATAGTTGTGAATTTATCTCTTGTTCACCCTAATATAGGAATAGCTTTTTGCTTTCTATTTAAATTCAAAAGAAATGTACGTGCTGACCAGATTAGTATGGCCAAAGCACCCAAGTGACTGTGTAATAGAAAATGTAGATTGGTAACTGCACAATGCATGACCGGTTCAAATCGGTGTATGTAACCATGCATTTGAAAGGTCGACATTCCCGCGCGTCTTTTAAACATTTCGTGACAGACAGATTCTTTATTGAGACAACAAAAAGGAACAGGGACTTTTGTATGGTCTTCTACGACTTAACTAAAGATCTAACAAAACTAAATACATGTGGGGATAACGTCATCTTACGTAAGAGTATATGTATGCGGTAACAACAAAGGTTTAACTATTCTCTAACATGTGGTCTCTAAGATAGAAACATTCTTTAATGTATTTTTCTATTTGAACACTGTATTGGTTATCCCTGAGAATGTAGTTGAATTTATCTATCGGATCTAATGTATTGAATCGGTTGAACAAGCGGAAAGAAAGGTGAACAGCATGCAATAGGCGCTTATCATTGTATAGTGTACAACCCATTTTAAAATGGTGCTCATTTTCAATCATGTTTGGACAAAATGGACAGAAACTTTCAATTGGTAATTTGGTATTTCCTTGTATCGACCAATTTCTATGTTTAATCAATAATAATAATTTATGACAACTAATTCTTAATTTTGAAGATCGCTTTTCGGATATCTAGATTGTGTATACTTGAGAGGTATTGTTTTTGTCCATAATTTGCCTTTAATGCGGTGTAAATAGAAAGTTTTGCGTTGTTACTAGTAGAATTGTACCATTTTTGTATATATATATATCCTGACTGTCGTCGGGCAAAGGTCACTATTTGGCGCCTGCCCAGAAGGCCCAGTCTGACACCCAGTGAGTGCATCCAAACCAAATGAAAACAGCCTTTTCCTTGGTATTTGTGGATGAATGCTGCCATTTTCCAGCTTGAGAGTTATTTTTTTTCTATTTTGTTGAAAACCTGACGCTCATAGACTTGTTTTGGCTGCCTGGTAGAGCTCTAATAGCAATGCCATTGTTTTGTTTTTTGGTGGTGTACAGGGGGTATGTGTATGGGTATGGCCTAATCATGATACTTTGTGTATATGTTATATATGTAACGTTATATGTATATTGTTGGTTTGGGTGTAAGTCGCCACTTGAGAGAAGATGAATATATGGTTATGCAATTATTCGTCCTTTTGAGCGGAACCTTTTTGTTCGACCGAAACAAAGAATGTAGAGGTCAGTCCGTGGCGGGATGCCGGTTGAGTGGTTAATTACCTCAAAGATGAAGGTAGTAGAAAAACGCACTGTTATGTACACATATCTTTTGTAGAAACCAAATTTACCTCCTTACAACTGAGATTCGGTCTGAAGTTTGCTGCTTTTTGACGATTATCAAGCAAAAACTTTAAAAACATGCTCTGTTGGCGAGGACCCGTGTAAATTGTAATGGCGGAGAGGCAGGGAAATTAAAGCTTGGCCTGCTGTGCCCTGATTGGTCGGGTTTATGACGCAAGCTGGACTGTCGGCCAATGGGAAAGCTGGTCGCGAAGTAGTGATATGTAAGTCGGAGGGGTCGTAAAATCCGGGCGGCTCCGCTAGCGACACCGTCATAAGGCCACAGCAGGTAAATTTTATGGATGGCATCCACCGCATACTCCAAATCTAATGCGAGTGGGCTAAAAAAAAAAACGTGACGAAATAAACAAGGTTCCTACATTTAAAATTTGACATAATCATTGTACAAATGGTTTTGATTCAGTTAGAACATCACTAATACATCACATATCACTCAATCAAAGTAAGAAACTAAACATTAAATCAGAGCATTTTCTTGTCTCCTCTCTTCATATTTATCTGCCATTCACCTTCTGACATGGCAACAGGCATCTTTGCACATTTTTGGCATGTTGACCACTGTCAGGAGGCAAAATAATGTTTTTTCCCCCGAATCAGGCGAAAGTTAATGCGCGCGCTGATGTCATCAATAAAAATTACTTGCTGTGGCCTAATCGTGATAATGTTGTGTATATGTTATATATGTAACGTTATATGTATATTGTTGGTTTGGGTGTCAGTCGCCACATGAGAGAAGATGAATATATGGTTATGCAATTATTGGTCCTTTTGAGCGGAACCTTTTTGTTCGACCGAAACAAAGAATGTAGAGGTCAGTCCGTGGCGGAATGCCGGTTGAGTGGTTACCTCAAAGATGAAAGTAGTAGAAAAACGCACTGTTATGTACACATATCTTTTGTACAAACCAAATTCAAATCGGACAAGTTTGAGCAGAGATATGTCACAATATGACGCAATCTGAACATGACGAGGCCCGGCCCCCTCCCCATGTTTATATGAGTGCTTGCGTACGCCGGCAGAGTTTCTCGTCCATTTTTTGACATTTTCCCGACTAACATGCCATCCATATTAAAGATAACTGTTCCTTACTTCCTTGCAACTAAGATTCGGTCTGAAGTTTGCTGCTTTTTGACGATTATCAAGCAATAAACTTTAAAAACATGCTCGGTTGGCGAGGACCCGTGTAAATTGTAATGGCGGAGAGGCAGGAAAATTAAAGCTTGGCCCGCTGTGCCCTGATTGGTCGGGTTTATGACGCAAGCTGGACTACCGGCCAATGGGAAAGCTGGTCGCCAAGTAGTAATATGTAAGTCGGAGAGGTCGTAAAATCCGGGCGGCTCCGCTAGCGTCACCGATGTAAGGTCACAGCAGGTAAATTTTATGGATGGCATCCTCCACAGACTCCAAATCTAATGCGAGTTGGCTTTAAAAAAAACAAGACATGCCGAAATAAACAGGATTCCTACATTTAAAATTTGACTTAATCATTGTACAAATTGTTTTGATTCAGTTAGAACATCACTTATACATCACATATCACTCAATCAGAGTAAGAAACCAAACATTAAATCAGAGCATTTTCTTGTCTCCTCTCTTCATATTTATC